AGAGCAGCAGCAATTCCACGCTTGTGTATATTTCGCTTGCAGCAAACAACAAAGATGCAGCAGCAGAAGGAGAAGAGATAATGATGGTGTATATATCCTAAGGAGGGAACACGAAGCCCCTATTAAACACACAGAGGCCCGCTGCTGCTGCTGCTGCTGCTGCTGCTGCTGCTGCTGCTGCTGCTGCTGTTGTTGTTGTTGTTGTTGCTGNGCTGCTGCTGCTGCTGCTGCTGCTGCTGCTGCTGCTGCTGCTGCTGTTGTTGTTGTTGTTGTTGCTGCTGTTGCTGCTGCAGCTGCTGCTGATGAGTGTACTTTGGTTAAGAACGCTTGGGGTGTATAGGCAGCTCTCGTGTTTGTATAGGGAGCCAGCTGCTGTGTATTTATATATAACGCAGATGCATATGCAGCATGTAGGGGGCTCTCGGTGAGTAGAGGAGAATATAAATGAGAAGTTTTATATTTATTTAATTTAATTGAAGAAATAAGAACAAAAATATAAATAAATATGCAAAAGCTGCAGCAAGCAGTGAGCAGCACTCGTGGCGACCTGAAACGGAAAGCGTAAGCCAGAGAGAGAAGCCCGCATGAATCAGCGATCGGTGGGAGAAAAAAAGAAAAAAAAAAGAAAAAATAAGAAAATTAAATCAAATATATCATAAATTACAGATAAATAAACATAAAACAAGCAGCAACTATAGGGCTGCTGCTGCTGCTGCTGCTGCTGCTGCTGCTGCTGCTGCTATCGATTGTGTTGGTTGCAGCAACCAGCTACTGCTGCTGAGGTGTATAGACACCGCGCTGCTGCGCACGTTTAATATATGAATTTTATTCTTTTTTTTTCGTTTTTTTTCTTCTTATTCATTCAATATAAACAATTTAAAAATATAATCAACAATAAAGAAAATACGCTGCTGCTGCAGCCTGAAACACACCCTCTTATAGACTCGTTCTTGCGTCGCACGCAGACGAACACCAGCAGCAGCAGCACAGCGCAGCTGACAACAAAAGTGAGGGAATTTGTTGATTAAATTTTATTTTTTTATTTTTTTTATATTTTTTAAATAAAAATAAACTCAAGGACAAATTTTAAGTCAACAAACAGCGACCAGAACACCCCAGGCTAGCCTGGGTGGGTGTATACAACAACACCATCGATACTGCTGCAGCACGCCTCTATACATCTATGCTCTTGCATGCAAATAAATCCTCTAATATAAAATAAAATAAACTTTTATTCTTTTTCACAAATTCCTCCAATAAATATTCTGAAAAAAAAAAAACTATAAAC